TTCCCATAGCATTTTATGATTGCAAATACCTTAATCTAATCATCATAAACAGTTCCCACACTCCGGAGAGCTCGCCTTTACTACTTCCTTCACCACTTCCTATGTTGCGGACCTGTTTCCTTCCCTTCCCATAACATTTTAGGATTCCAGATACCTTAATCTAATCGTCATAAACAGTTCCCACACTCCGGACTACTCGCCTTGACTACTTCCTTCACCTCTTCCTACGTTGTGGATGTGTTTTCCTCCCTTCCCATAGCATTTTAGGATTGCAAATGCCATAATCTAATCGTCATAAACAGTTCCCACACTCCGGACAGCTCGCCTTGACTTCTTCCTTCATCACTTCCTACGTCGCAGACCTGTTTCCTTCCCTTTCTTTAGCATTTTAAGATTGCAGATAACCTTAATCTAATCGTCATAAACAGATCCCACAGTTTGTACTGCTTGCCTTTACTAGCCTACAATGTATCGAGCAATCTTCAGTATAATCTTTGCTCAATAGTAACAAGTGATGCTTTCCCATTTGTACTGTATTTGTAATTTGCTAGTTTACTGTGGGTAGTTGCCTTATTATGAACACATGCTACAACTTCAAGTCTTTTGTTTACTTTTTCCTTGTTATTTAATTCAACCTAAATGGTTACTAAGCAACCCATAAGACTAATGTTAAAAAAATGTGACTTTCAGTTTCCTTTTTCTACGTAATTAGTTTTTTTCTTGGCAGTTCTAACTGCATGAAACTCGTTTTTAGGCCAAAAATAAACTATTTACAAGATTTGAAGAAAATCGTCGGGGCCGTTTTCGAGATCTTTCTGCAAGCAAGCAAGCATACATACAAGCAAACATTGCTCGTATTAGAGTATAGGATATATATATGAATTTGAACGGATGGTGTTTTTTTTAGTCTACACCTTACCATGAGACCTATAATAGCTTATTCCCTATATTTATGGGAAATTCGTTAAAATGACAGGACATTTATCAATACAGTATAGTACTTAAATTTAAATATTAGATATTAGAAATTAAAACAAAATAATTTTAATACTTAATCCTACCAATTTACACTTAAAAATGCATTCAAAGAATAAAATGTTTTTCTTAGCAACCACATGGTTCTGGAAACTCCAGAAATAAACCCAAACCTCCAGGAATCCGAAGCCCGGTTATCGGAAACGTAGGTTAACCAAAATACTACTATAGGATGTCATTTTTATGTAATTTTGATACTTTAAAATCAATATATTATGCTCATATTCATTCACATTCATCCTACGGGTTGGCAATTTATGGGGGCACTACATAGCAAAACTTAAACAAAATCTTAAAACTTCAAAAAAGAGCTTTGCAAATAGTGCTAAATCTAGAGCTTGACGCATTGGTAAAAAATCTGTTTTGCAATTTAAACATACTAACGGTGTATGACCAATATATTTTGGAGTGCATAATCTGCACATAAAGTTAGCTCCACAATCACATTTTTCGTAATACATTCCTACTATACTAGAAATAGAAATACAATTAACATTCCCCAACATAAACTTAGCTTTTAGCGAATTTCCCATATAGGGAATAAGCTATTACCGTAGTACTCATGGTAAGACCTGGACCCGGGACCGATATATTTTTTGTTTTGAGGTCCCTAGAGGCCAAAAACACCATCCGTTCAAATTCATATATATATATATTTGTCTGTTAGCGCGATAACTTGAGCAAAAATAATCGATAATAATTGATTGTGATGAAATTTGGTACAAACGTGTAAACCTACGTTTATTCAAACGAGTTCGCGAACCAGCATAATTGGACCATGGGAACGGGGGTTTATAGGGGGTTTTATGGGGTAAAAATGGGTTTTTCCCATTTTTGACCCTAAAAACAAACAATTTTGCAATTTCTTTTTAAACCGTTTTGTAGAGCTTAAAAAAATAAATAATTTAGTATATTGAAGCGCTGTTGTATGCCTAAGGTCACGGAGAAAATTCAAAAATAGTGTAATTTAAAATTCCTACGTTATTCTTATGGAGAAAATGAAAACTGTTGTTGTTTACTTGTTTATGGATATATGTTGATAAAATTTGGTAAATTTATTTATTTCATTCTATACTATTTACATATGGTCAAAAACACTTTTTACCTTCCCCGTAGCAGCAAACCTAAGCACTCATTAAATCTAATGTTATTTAAATTGGGAATAAATATGTCTTATTTATGGAAATATTTTAGTAATAATGTAATCAGAAAAGTTGAAATTCGCTCAGTCTGCAGGTTTGCTGTGGCAAGGGTAAAAAATCTCCAGATATGGGGACAAAATTTTTAAATAAACCCATCAATCTTTAAAACTCATATGGATAAAAAATGTTTTAGATATTAAGTAAAAACTTATCTCTTAACAACAAATTGCTACTCTATACAAGAGTTTTGTATTTGAATCACCTTTTAAATCTGGCAACAATCCTAGTTTTAAATTTATCAGTTTGTATCGTATATATTTTTTCATATTTCAATATTGTGTATGCTTACTGTTCTTAATGTATAGATTTGTTACTAATGAAAATGAAAGTTTTATTTTATTTTATTTATTTATTTATTTTTTATAAAACCAATATTATTAATTACGAGATATTAAATATATATTATATAATTAAATATGCTCACGGATGTTGCCGCGATTGCGTGATACAGTTGCCGGTGTCGTCGAGACTGTAAGATATGCTCACCGGTATTCACACGATTGCGGGAGATGATAACTGGGGTCGCCTCACCGACCAGTTATACTGTTTTAATACGTTGTTTAAAATATTATTCTTTGGAAAAGTTTTGTTTCAAAGTTATAGTGCCTACTAGTTATTGAATAAATAAATAATACGATTTATGACTTACTATTTCTGAAGTACATTTTTAAATACATTAGTTAACTGCATTACCGAATGTGATAAAAGTGATGATTTCTTTTTAAAAATCTTTTAAAAGTTTTTACTTAATATAAAACGGCGTGATAAAGATTAAAGTAGGGTTCGGATAGTAGTTCTTAAACTTCAGGAATTTGTCTTGAATTCTCTTGGAAAACTCCTTGAATTTTTCAAACCAGATTTAGTAGACACCATAAACCAGTCTTTAGATGCTTTTTTAAAATTTGTTTGGATTGGCTTTGTTTTTTAAATCATCAGGAACTAAGCTGTACAATTTTGGTCCAGTATATTGAGGTGACACTTCAAATAGTGTTAATCTATAGTGGGCTTGTTTAGGTTATGTCTCTAGTGTTATATATATGTTATACAATTTTGTATCTATGTGTGATAAAATGTGATAAAATAATGTGATAAAAGTGATGATTTCTTTTTAAAAATCTTTTAAAAGTTTTTACTTAATATAGTTAATATGTTTAGGTTATGTCTCTAGTGTTATATATATGTTATACAATTTTGTATCTATGTGTGATAAAATGTGATAAAATAATGTGATAAAATAATGTGATAAAAGTGATGATTTCTTTTTAAAAGTTTTTACTTAATATAAAACGGTGTGATAAAGATTTTGTATCTATGTGTGCTGCAGGAATCCAATACTGGGTCCCTTACATAACATCATTGTTTAGAATATACAGTAGGCCTATGTGCTTGTTTGATAATTTTAGTCCTTTGATATCCATCCCTCAAGTATGTAGAAAACGAATGTAATTCCTTATTTTTTATTCCATATTTTTCATGTTTGTCTATCAACAAGCTGTGATGAACACATTCAAAAGCTCTGGATAGATCACACAGAATTCCTGTTGTCCTCTGAGTTCCATCTAAGGAACTCGCAACCCAATTTACTAATTTTGTGATTTTTTGCTGAGCACTTAATCTATTTCTAAATCCAAATTGGGAATCATTGAAAATGTTGTTATCTTCTAAACAAGTTTTCAATTGTAGGTCAACACATTTTTCTAATATTTTAGAAATACTTGAGAGCATGCCTTTTGGGCGATAATTTTCTAAAGTGTTTTTATCTTTTTTGTTATAGAGTGTTAACATTTCTAAGTATTTGGTTTGTTTGGGAAAATGCCGTATACTAAGGACTGGTTTATAAGGTTACAGAGAGGAGTTTGTATTACATATATTACATATCCTAGTTTTAAATTTATCAGTTTGTATCGTATATATTTTTTCATATTTCAATATTGTGTATGCTTACTGTTCTTAATGTATAGATTTGTTACTAATAAAAATGAAAGTTTTATTTTATTTTATTTATTTATTTATTTTTTATAAAACCAATATTATTAGAGTTGAGGTTAGGTTACTTCTGGTGCTTACATCTTGATTTCCACTCTAGACTAGACTCAGAAGAACTCCCATTCTCTTAATAAAAAAGGTAAAAAAGGCAAAATAGAGCCTGCGCCTTGTTTATGAAAGTGTAGAACAAGTGAAATTATACTATACTAGTGTACCTGTTGCTCGATTCACTAAGTGAGAACAATAGAATCTGATCCCACCCTACAAAATATATCCTTTGTAAAATGTATATTTGTAAAATATATATATTGCCTTTGTGTTATTTAAAGAAAATAAAATTTTCCTTACATCTAATTCAGTAATTAGTTTGAATTTAAATGCCTAGTCTATGCCTACTTTAGATCAGGTCAGAAGGCTATGGGCGTCCAAAGTTATCTCTAAATGCCACAGCCACGCTAGCTGTCATGTGTCTCGGATGATGAAAATCTGATGATATTGTGTATACCAGCGCTACTGATGAATCTTGCTTGCAGTGCTTAAACAACTTCTTTATGTTAGCATCCAGGACTGTTATTCCTCTTCCTGCAGCCAGTGGAAGAGATGTTTTGGCAATCCTAGGGTTAGTGGCAGGACCAGCCGATTCACGGACATTATTTTTGTGTGCTATCGGTGTTACAAGAATGGAATTTAGTGCTGTGGTTCTCGTTATCTTTATACATAAAGAGTTTTTTTCCAGCATAGGCTAAGTGTACACAGATGATTTGATTTTTGTTGTAGGAAGTAAACTCTGAAGGCCGCGAGAGCAGGTTGCGTGAGAGACTGAAGGAGGTTGCTGGTACTCTGGAGCGAGTCAGTCGCAATGCAGAACTGAGGCAGAGACAAGCTACTGAACTGACCAACGAGTTGAAAACTACCAACAAGTGAGACACATCTAGTAGTATGGAAATTGTTTGACTGATTGATCATACTTATTTTATTCTAAATTTAATTAGTAGGCCTAGGCTTAAACGATACTTAAATTTATGGTTCAAATCTATTATTTGATGATTATTTTTTTAAGGGTTTGTAAGCCCTTTTAAGCGTATTAGTGCTAGGTAGTAATTTTTTTCTTAAAACTAGAATTAATATTTACCAAGCTTTCACAAATAGGGATTAAACTATTTCATGATAACACCTGGACCTAGGACCGACTTACTTTTTCGTTTTGTTTGAAGTCCTCATAGGCCAAAAACAGGATTCGTTCAAATGTTGTGTTACCCTTAAAGCTATCAAATAATAATAACTTGCAACCTACTCCACTTTTCTACTCGATTTTATAAATATAAATTTACTTAAAAATAGATAATCAAAATTCCAATAAAGTTACAATAAGATATATTTCGGTTCTATAGCTTATTTTACAATAATCTCATGGGCTATGTCAGTGAACTTATATTTTGGTCTAGATTTTATAGATGGGCTAGATAACAATTTGGAGAGCAATGATCTTAATCTAGGGGTTGGTTCGTGCCGGGTATGAAATTCTGATAGGCTAATTAACTTAATTCATACTAATGTAGGCTATTAAGTAATTAGAGTCACAAAAATTTAGGTTGGAAGTTCTTAGCTTTAAACAGTCACTTCAATTTAGGCTATACAGTATCTTCGAATTCAATTAAGTTAATGTGATTGTTACTAGAGTTCACAATGGACAAAGATGGTGGTTGGAAATTAATGATGGTTTTTAAATGTTTATGTTTGATATTACCAATTTCTGTTGAATACTTATCTTCTGGTCTTGGGGTATCTTTATTATCGATATTTCTATATGTTATGAATATAAATTTTCTAGACTTTTGACTATTTAATTGCTGGAGACTTGGCTCCCACATCCATCTCTATCTAGATCTTCCACCAGAAGCTTATTTAATTTTCTTTCTTCTAGGTTTATTACAACAATGTAACCTAACATATGTTATACATAGACAGTAGAATGGGAAATATTTATGACCAAGGCACTTATTTCGTTTTAGCATATTATTTTTGAATACAGTTTCTCTTATTATTAATTTTGTTGAATATAATTAATTAATATTGGAGGTAATTTAGTTACAATTCACATTTAAATACATTCATGTTTTATCTCAAACTGCGCACATCAAACGTTTGTTTGATTACTAAGTTTGATGATAACAAAGGATAGGCGTCTTGGTCACGAAATCACAATCGAAACACAGTACAGTAACTAAATTAATGTGAACAGTCTCTTCTAAAATACTATTGAATGGGCAAAGCACACTATTTAAAATTTATTGAAAAGTCTAAAATGTATCTCAAGGCTGATTATTGGGAATGTGGTGAGGCTCAAGGTGTGTGGTGTGTAGAAACAGCAAGGTTAGTTCCTAGAGGTTAGGTTACTTCTGGTGCTTACATCTTGATTTCCACTCTAGACTAGACTCAGAAGAACTCCCATTCTCTTAATAAAAAAGGTAAAAAAGGCAAAATAGAGCCTGCGCCTTGTTTATGAAAGTGTAGAACAAGTGAAATTATACTATACTAGTGTACCTGTTGCTCGAAATTGAGCAATTGTCAAGTACCGGTATTATGCAGGAGTTATTTTAAAACTACAGTAATAACAGTCATAATTTTCGACGAGTTTAAAAGACCCGACTAAATGCTAAGGTAACTAATTGAAATACTCACGCTATTTAATACCGCTTTGAAATTATAAATAAACGCTTCTTGTAAACATATTTTAGAATTTTTTTTACCCGGCCTTATTTTTTAGTGTTTTCCACAAATGTTTCCCGACTTAAAGCTGATACCAGTAAACATTTCTTGCATGTATTTCTTTGATCTGACTTTAGGTAGGTTTACTTTACCACTGTGACAACATGATGTGTATATTCTTCATGGTTTTTTTTTTACTTCCAAAATAAGTTGCTTAGCATAACTGGCAAAATGATTCATCTCAAGTGATTGTGTACCTGGATTCCTAACTGTGAGACCAGGCCTCTACTCTACTCTTCTCATACGTATAAGATCTCCTATTAATTGTCCCCTCCTCCTGTCTTCAATATTTCTCCTTTAAATTCAAGAAATTTTCTGTTCTTCCAACAAAACTGATTAACTGTTTAGATTTGTTTATAACCTCATAAATATTACAAACATCGATATTTACTCCAAAAAATCTGGTGAGTTTATTTTTATGTACAGCTGTTTTGTTTTTAAATTTGTTTTCAATGTAATTTCTTTTACCTATAAGCGGAGTAGGATTATAGATAACTATATTCCGATGCTTGATGGCAAATCTGAGCGTGCATACCTTCAATTTGAGACCTCAATCATGAAAATCGGTCGGGTAGAAGAGCCAAACGAACTCGGAAAAGAAAAACCAAATTTTTTTAATATATAAGATTCTTATGGGGGAAATGCGACCTTTGAGAGCGTCTCGTGCCCTTAAGGGTAATAGATTTAAAATTCTAAAACCTTTATGCAAAACTACGAATTGAGACGAATCATTTGACACCTCAAACGTTAAAATCAGTCCAGAAATAAAAGAGGAGTTTTGTTCACAAAAAACAGCCCTCGCGTATTAATATAAGAGATTCCCGATCATTCTTTTATTCAAATAATGCATTTACATTTTTCAGATCAATGTTCTTTGTATTTATTTTGCTAACCATGTATAGTCAATAATTTTAAAAATTTAACAAATAAAAAAACAGTTTAAAAATATAAAACAAATTTTTCAAAAATGTTTTCCTCTTGTTAAACTGTACAATACTATGTTGGTAACAAACTGTGAAAATTTGGAAGTGATATCTGTTATAGGTAGTCAGAAAAGTGTGAAAGAACCATGTATAATTTAACATTGTGGCAAATGGCCCTACTGAGCCCCCGTGGGTCTGGGTCTTACGATATTTCTAAACGAAACGTAAATCAACATTATGTCCCAACAGTTTTTCGTGTGTATCCCAGTCACAGGAACTACATTATTCTATTAATATAATGATCAACATTAATTTTGCAAGAAAATTCAATATTTTAATATTTGTTCATGTAAAATTAATTGTTTTCAAAGCAACCATCACTTAATTTGAATACAATAATTAAATAACAATCTATTCATTAGTTGATTTGGAATTAGGAATCACGTCTCTATTTCATAGTAAATATCCTCCAATGACCAAGTGATATTATTAAAGTAAGTATATTTAACTATTGTCAATTAAAATAATATATTATGCCAGTTTCAGTTAGTTTGTTTTGATTTAACCGCAAAATTTGACACGTATGAACACATAATTGCACTAAAAAGGTTCATCTTCAAAGATATTCCACCACAGCTTAACCGCTTCTAGCTAAAAAAATCCAATTACACTGTACAGACACTCTATTCTTCACCCCACGCTGTAAATAAAACATGTGATAGGAATTTCTTACATTTGTTTTGATTTTCTGTTTATATTTTGTTGTTATTTCGTCACCAGTTTGGCAACCTATAAGTCCCATGTTAATTATTTTGTAATTTTAAACTAATTTTTAGTGCTTATTTGTTAGCCAATTTAATTTTATAAAGATACTAGCTGACCCGGCGAACTTCGTATCGCCTAAGTTATAGGTTTCCCCTAAGACAGACCGATGGAAAGAAAGTACCGTTATGTTTAATTTTCAAGATGATCTCGTTCGCATCGCTCAATCACGTCCTGGTTGAAGTTCGTTCGCTCACTCACCTTTGGGCTGGAGCTCGTTCGCTACGCTCACTCACCTTTGGGTTGGAGCTCGTTCGCTGCGCTCACTTGCCTTCAGGTTAGCTTGTTGGCTACGCTAACTCGCCTCCAGTCCAGGTTGAAGTTCGTTCGCTACGCTCACTCACCTTTGGGTTGGAGCTCGTTCGCTGCGCTCACTTGCCTTCAGGTTAGCTCGTTCGCTACGCTAACTCGCCTCCAGGTTGAAGTTCGTTAGCTACGCTCACTCACCTTTTGGTTGCAAATTAGCTGTTGTCATAAATGTAAAAGAAATAATAGTGCTGCACCCTGTTGGTAATCCTTGTAACTTTAATGCTATTGAACATCATAGAACAGAACCAACTTGTTTAATTGAAACAGCTGTTAAGATTCATTAATTCCATTTCTCATAAGGTTAACATGGGAAACTCCAGAGCCACTGGGGCGGAGCCCTTTTAAGAATTTCGAAACGGGAAATAGTTTACGTCCGATTCGCATACCTACAGAATTTACACACCAAATTTCATAACGATCGGTGAAGTCGTTCCAGAGGAGTTTGCAGACAAACACTGTGACACGAGAATTTTATATATTAGATTCTGCACATCTACACAAAAATATCTTTCTAACAGCATCCGTAGATTTTCTCTAAGATGTACACGAGCTGAGTAAAAAGGTTTTAAAGAAACCTGCTTGCCTATTAATACATAGATCTTTGCATTCAATAAAATCATTATGCAATGACTGAAAAATGCAACTCTCGTACTCTCTACTAACTCTGTTTTTTATTCCTTGTTTTCACTTTGGGCAGCAACGTCCTTAGTTTATCTTTATCGTCTGTTTCATTGCTCCCAGTCCTTCAATGCGCGTCTGCCAGCCAGTCTAAAGGTATTCAAGTTTACTACCAAAGCCTAGCAGACATGGAGCGTTTTGTTAACGTTATTCGGTTATTCGTTATTTTTAGTGAGATATGACCAGAAAGATGCAACATTTTATGCTATTTGAATATTGACAATGCAGTAGACAAATATTGAACAGTAACGGTTAATAAACATAAACAGATTACACCACTGGCCCAATGTCTATACTAATATCTGTAACAACTGGTTTGGATGTTTTTTGACAGTTCCATTTAAATATTAATAATAATGTGTTTACTTTCGAGCCAGTGGCATAATTTTGTTTATGTTCCTTTATGACCCATACCGTTTCTGTTATAACATTTTTATTATGTAGGTACAGTATACAATTTTGCTAGCCCGTTAATTTTTATCCACTATAGTATGGGGGCCGCCAGCTAAAATCTCCTCGTTTAGCGAATTTCCCATATAGGGAATAAGCTATTACCGTAGTACTCATGGTAAGACCTGGACCTGGAACCGATTTACTTTTTCGTTTTGAGGTCCCTAGGGGCCAAAAACACCATCCGTTCAAATTCATATATAAATGTGTGTCCGTTAGCACTATAACTCGAGCAAAAATGATCCGATTTTGATGAAATTTGGTATAAACAGGTAAACCTACATTTATTCTAACGAGTTCGCGAACCAGCATTATCGGACTATGGGAACGGGGGTTTATGGGGGGTTTTATGGAGTAAAAAATAGGTTTTTCCCATTTTTGACACAAAATTTCACAATTTCTTTCCAAACCATTTTGTAGCCTATAGTTAAAAAAAAATAAGTATATTGAAGCGTTATTGTGCGCCTAATGGTTACGGAGAAAATTCCAAAATATCTTAAATTTAAAATTCCCATGTTATTCTTATGGAGAATAAGTCAACTGTTGTAGTTTGCTTGTTTATAAACATATTTTGATCGAGTTTGGAAAATACATTAATTTCTTACTAAACTATTTACATTTTACAACAAAAAACACTTTTTTACCCTAGCTGTTGCAGCAAACCTAAGTACTTGTTAAACTAATTCTATTTAAATAGGGAATAAATGTGATATTTTTTAGGAGGCATTTTAGTGTAAATCCAATAAGGCAGATGGAAATTCGCTTAGTCTGCAGGTTTGCTCCGGCGGGGGCATTTTACAAATTACCATATGGCAACCCTAGAAAACATTGACTTAGGCTGCCTAGCTAGTTGATGGTTTTGTTTAATAAATGTGTGTGTTCACTGTCCAGTACCTTGGTGCAGACTCTAGAGAGGTGCAAACGCAAGTCACAAGCAAGACTAAGAAGACTGGACACTCAGATGTTGAACATGGTCGAGCAACACGCTGCTCAGGTAAAACAACAACCGAATACAGTACACTCCTGATTAACCAAGGTTGTTGGAACCGAGACTACCTCGGTTACCAAGAAGCTTGAATGACACGGAGGTCACATACATTTTGAGATTAGGGTTACGGTACCTTATTATAAAGTCAAATACTTGTAAAAAATATTTTAAACAACACACAGCGAATGAAAATTGATTATACTGTACCTTTGATCCTACCTTTTTTGCAAAATAACATAAAATTGTTAAAGAAAAAAAGAACACAACAAACATTTTCAACACTTTAAATTGTCTTGAAAAACGTTAAACATAGTATTATTAGAATTATGATAAACCAATACACTAAATGATTTCAAGCAAATCACTAAGTAGTCCAGCAGCTGGCTATACTTTATATACATTTTGACCATTTTGGACATGTAGAAAACTCTCTCTTCCTTAGCTGAAAATGCTGTCAGTGACAGTGAAATATATTAATGTTTTGTGTATATAGTTGTAAAGTTTTGTGTTTCCTGTGCCAGTTTGGACCCTTTCCCATTTAGGTAAGTCTAATTTTCAGGTAATTTTCATCTAAAAAAAATTCCTAAAAACCTAGGCCCTTGTGCTCTATGCTACACCCTTAAACAAAATGTAGTTTTTTTATTTTTTGAACTAGAAAGATCCACCTTTATTTAGTCCTGCAGCTGGCTATACTTTAGTGTGCAAACTTGCGTATTCTCAAAAAACTTGCATAACCTTTTAGTATAATGTCTAGGGAGTTTAAAAAACCTGGGTGTTTACCTCCTAGCCACCACGTTTTCCGGCTATGACGTCATCAATTTGTGGGCAATGGATTTCTTTTAAGTATATATTTCGCAAACTATTTGTTGCATCGGGATGCAATTTTTTTGTTTGAAAGATAAGTTTACGTGCTATCTTTCTTACATTTACACATTTGTTGTATGTTAAGTAATTTTTTGTTATTTTGCAAGAACCCGTATTTTTTAATATTTTTGTGTTATTTTTGTTTCTAACGTTTTACTGGAAATAATGTTTTTACAGTCAATTTTTGTTCATGTACTAACTGCTAACAGTGTTTTGTAAATTCATTGCTGGTGTTTCTTTCATAATTTTTTAGATACGGCAACTTTCTGCATCAAAATCAAAATTTGACTGCCAAATGTGGTCAATCTAATTCAAATTAAACTTTTTTTATTTGATAAATTTGAAGTTTGTGATTGAACTTTTGACTCATTTTATATAAATTATGAATAAATCTGCCACGTTTTTTAAATATGCATACTAAAGTTTAATATTGTAGTAAAAATCCAATCAGGTAAATAGAATTTAGCTTAATCTGCAGGTTTGCTGCGGCGGGGGTAGTCTATTTCAATTTGGTGTTATGGTTGGTAGTTTGAATTTATACTAGGCTAACAAAAATCCACTTATTTTTATGGCAAATCAAATCAAAAATTCTTTATTTATTTCATGCACATAGGTACATATAAATAGTGTCAAAAAATTATATTAAAAATACATCAGTCTTTGAACCTTATGTAAAACTATTTTGGTTGGTTTACTATTGTTGTACAAATCACCTTTCAGGTGAGGACTCTTAAACAAAGAATAGCCTCGCTGGAGGAAACGCTGGATCACCAGAGCCGACAGTCGCACAGCTCTAAGGCCAGTGAGACTTCTCTGTGATCAGTTGGCCTCTAGCAACTGGTTGGGTGTCTTATAGCTTCAAGTTACCAACATGTACAGTAATATATCTTCAACAATGTTAGTCAATATATGAAACATAGTTTGATAAAATAGTATCTTTAATCACTAGGGACTATGTGACTCTTTAACAACCAAGGTGGAATCGAGGTCGGAAAATGTGCGAAGGTTGAAAATTCATTTTGGCTCATCTGATGACAATCTATATTTTACGTTATAATGTACTATGGTTTGGCTAACTAATTTAAAATCATTAATTTTTTACATTGTTTACTTCTAAAAATTAGCCCCCACAGATGTATTTCCCCTTTGTTATGGTATTATGCAAAAAGCTGGGGTAAAAATTGGTTTTTCCCATTTTTGATCCTAAAAACACAAAATTTCACAATTTCATTCCAAACCATTTTGTAGAGCTTAAAAAAAGAAATAATGTTGTTTATTGAAGTGTTGTTGTATGCGTAACGGTTACGGATATAATTCAAAAAATTGTAAATTTTAAAATTACAACTTTATTCTTATGGAGAATAAATAAACTTTTGTAGTTTGCTTGTTTATGTTTAGATTTTAATCCAATTAGGCAATTTTGTTTATTTCATACTAAGCTATCAACATTTAGACCCGGGACCAATTTACTTTTTCGTTTTGAGGTCCCCAGAGGCCAAAAACACCATCCGTTCAAATTCATATATATATATATTTATATATGTGTCCATTAGCACGATAACTCGAGCAAAGTTGATCCGATTTTGATGAAATTTGGTACAAACGTGTAAACCTACATTTATTCGAACGAGTTTGCGAACCAGCATAATCGGACCATGGGATCAGGGGTTTATGGGGGGTTTTATGGGGTAAAAATGGGTTTTTCTCATTTTTGACCCTAAAAACTTTAAATTTCTAAATTTCTCTTTAGACCATTTTGAAGAGCTTAAAAAAACAAATACTTTAGTATATTGAAGTTTTTTTGAATGTTCATTGACTACGGAGAAAATTAAAAAAATTGTAATTTTAAAATTCCCACGTTATTCGTATGGAGAATAAATAAACTGTTCTAGTTTGCTTGTTTATGGATATATTTTAATCAAATTTGGCTTATTTCATACTAAGCTATCAATATTTCAATTGAAAAAACACACCTCAACATCTTCCCCGTAGCAGCAAACCTAACTACTCACTAAAATTAATGTTATTTAAATAGGAAATAAATCTGAAAATTTATAGGGAATATTTTAGTAGAAATCAAGCCGGGTAAATGGAAATTCGCTTAGTATGCAGGTTTGCTGCGACGGGGGTATTTCTTTTTTTCTGCAGTCTGACAAAAGTACAATTCCATCTGCAAACATGACAGTGAAAAGTCTACTAGTTTCTGTAATCAATGAAAAATTCAATTGTTTATTGTGTGCTGAACCTAGTTTAGTGCTTTTTAAAGAGGTTAATAAATTGGTGATGAATGTTAACACTTCAGTATGCAGCTGTTTCCTGCGTCCTTGTAGAGGAAATATTTTTTTTCCAAAATCATCTAAGCAAACATTCAACCTGGCAAGTTAAAAACTCTCACAAAAAAGCAAATAATCTAATCTTACCTTATTACACATGATGAAAAACTTTTGAGTGAATTTTTTACCAGTATAACATAGGTGAGGATTAAGCATAGTTCAAACATTTATTTCAACCTAATAATAAGTTTGCCTGCCTGGTGAATGTCAAAGAGTATAAAGTAATATTCTGGTTGATAAAAGACATAAAGACCGAAAAATATCTATTTGTTTGGCAGCACACTCTGGATATAGGGTGACTGAAAAGTAACTTGCACCCCCCCCCCCCCTAACTTTATAACTATTGAGATATTTGAAATCAGTTTGTGACAACCTTACTAGATATGAGGGGCTACAATAATAATGGTTAGTTTTTAAAATTGTACCTTTAGGGTTAGTGGGGGTAGGGGATAGCTCAAAATTTTGAAATGGGAAATATAGTCGACTTTCATGTAATTTGACAGAAATAATTTACATAAAGAAAATAAAAATCGGACCTATAATAACAAAATTGCGCTCAAAATTATTCACCCTAAAACAGACAGGTGTTAATGATAACAGTAATAATTATGCGGAGTTGAGAATTTTCCAGGCACTGTTTACTAACCATGTAGATGTTATTAGCAATTATCTGAACTAGAAAAATGCTGCCTTAATACAAATTGAAAGTTAATAAAACAAAAATATTTTTTTACTACCGCGATACAATTTTGGTTTAGGCTAGTTATCAAAAGTAATTTTTTGTTGTCATTTAGTTATTAGTGGTATGATTTTTTCCTTTTTGTCAATTGTTTAGTTTTATGAAGACCTGTAAAATCATATGAAGGTTTACTATACTTTCTTTTGAAAAATTTTGATCCATGGGTAAAGTTTTTGTAATTACAGTAGAGCATCGAAAACTCATATGCTTCGCGAAAAAGAATTTCAAGGTGGTGGTGGGTCGCTAAACCAAAAAGTTTGGAAACCGCTGCACCAGTCCATCCGTTTATTTAATAAATTGCTAATAATATTTTAAGTGGACTCTCCTTTGGTTATCATCATATGTCTGTTACTAACTGATACATTTAAATTTTGAACACATACAGCATTGTTGTATACTTACCTAACAATAACCAAACTTAATCAAATTTTGACTCAGCCATTTTGTAATATTATGTGCTCTTCAAGTGTTTAAATAAATGTATGCCATTAGCTACCAATCTTCCTCATTAAAAGACCCAAAATAGGCACCTAGTTGTAGTAATAATATTAATAAGTTAAATTATTATTTCTGCTGTACACAGCGTTTGTTGTGGGACTGACCAAAAACATCAGGTGTTGAATTGAATTAGTACATCAGTTACTATTTTTGTTAAACATGTTAAATGCAATTAATTATTTTGGTTATTAGTTCAATTGTGTGCAATATTACACCATTTGCTAAGTAAAGCCTTCATACTAATTAATATTAATATTAGTGATGGTCAAAACCAAAAATTGTGAATTTTAAAACCGAAACTTAAACTTTAAAAATTCGAATCCCGAATCTCGAATCCCAAAACCTAACCGCAAAACTTTTTTTACTTATATTTGACAAAGGTCAAAATACAGGTAATCAAACGTTAAGTATGCAATCAAAAATGAAAGAGATTGACTCCTGACCCTGACATAATAACATAAAAATGTGATTGATAAACTTAAAACCCAAAACAACATAATTTATTTTTAATAAACAACCATCCTGACACCAACATAAACATGAATATTACATTAATTAGAACATTTCTTGGCAATATTTCTTTGTATTCAATAACTATTGTTATGAAACTGAATTGTATGTCGTTCCAGTTGTATTTAATATGTCTTTTGAGTCCAGAATACAATTTACTTTTTTCATTACTCTTAATGCTGATCTGTTTGCTCTATTGCTACCAGCTTGTAAGAAAACAGTGTTAAAAACAATAATAATGACGCAAAAAAATCTGCAGTCTAAAAAAAAACTGCTAAAATCTTTAATTTCAAAACTTTTGAATCTCGAAACTCAATGATCAAATCTCGAAACCGAAACTTTTTTTAAGGTTTTGAGATTTGAGATTCGGTTTAGACACATCACTAATTAATAATTAATTTACTCTATTGTTTTGTAAATAGTAACATTTGTAAGTAGTTTAAAATTATGTTTATTACTCCATATTAAAAAAATACTTTTCAATTTATTTGTGGTTTTATTTTTTCATACTATATTAAGTTAAATATTTTTTTTTAGATTCTTGTTTTGTTATTAATCAAATTGCTGTGGTAATACTAAAAACTCAGTTTTTCAAAGCTGCAAATAATGCGGGGAGGCAGTAAGGTAGGCTAAATATATTATTTTTTTGCATTTCTTTTTGTATTATTTCTCCAAATTATAGAGCTTTTCTTCCAGGACAGAATGATATATAACACTTTGGTGCTAAAAATATTTTACCCGTGTAAAAAAAATCTGGAACAAATGCATAGGCGAGGCCTGACTTCTTTTGAAATTAGGTTTTTTTTTTAATATTTGTATATTTTTTGATTAAATATGCAAGTTACCTTGGTGATGGGGACAGCAATAGCTTTGAAAGAAAAAAAGAAAACTGGAAAAAGCTATTGGAGGAAAATATGGGGCTGAAATGTTTAAGGTAGGCAAAATAACGCATATCACATATTTTCTATACCCCTAGGCCTAAGGCCTAAGTTATATGACGTTAACCGCAAATCGTTATTTTTGTCATGTTATGTACCTTTTCTCAGGAACTACTAGGGATAGGGAGTTAAAATTTTTACACAACATGTATGTTATAGTGTTAAACACACTGAGTTTGTTTTAGGGCCTAATTCCAACCTACTTGGTAAAAATATATATATATATCACAAGAAATTTGAAAAATGTTTAGTACCTCCAAAAAAAGTTTTTATCTAAGCTATTTATTAGTTTAAAATCCTGAAAAAACCTCAGGACATGTATCAAAGGTATACAAAGAACTGACAAAAATTTCAGAGAGATAGGCCATATAGTATTTCCAAAAAGGTACCTTACGTTAGCATTACAGAGCTAGGGATTCCGCCTCCCCTAAGCCAAGTTAAGCAGTACGTGCATTGGTTAACAAAGTATTTGAGAGGGCTTTTTTTTATTGATTTAATTTGTTCAAAACTTCAAAGTAGAGTATTTTACTTAACCACAAGATTTTTGTAAGTATGTAAATAAATCTACCTTACCTAATATAATATATTAATGGGTCAAGTCTCTTCTCTACAAAACTTAAAATAAGACCAAGGGTAAAAACACACATACAGCAATTGAGGGTGGAGTGGGCGGTATGATCCAGAGCGAGCTTAAGTGGAGCAACTGATACACATACAGCGACTAGCGAGAGCGATCAGTTCCAAGATGTCACATAGTAAGTTGGCACGTAATTTGCAGAAGCGAAAACAATTGGTTGAAAACATTCATTTTGCGTGCTTCAAACCGGTCAAGAGTGGGTGCATAAAGTGAATGAAGGAAGGGAGGTGAGTGGCAAATATCACCATTTGTTTCCAGTTCTTAGAAGCATGAATCACGTGACGATTCGTGCAATACATGAGTATGTTAGACTGCTGTAACTTAACCTCCTTGAATTGAATCGCTCGATAAACTATCGAAATTAGTATATATCTATATACCAGGTTACTGGTTATTTAAAACCTATTCAGCCCCACCCGACAAGCCAGTATTTGAGACAAGCTTAATTTCATATTACACTTAAATTACCTTAATTATACTGAATTGAATCCAAATTATTTATCAAAAGTTGGGACCTGTTACAATAATCTAATACATAATGTATATATGACAATGACCTTCGCACAGTGACTCGAGCAGAGTGACTCAAGATTAAGTAGTTGCCCTCTCTGTTCCCAAACACTTGAAAAAACAAACAAGATTGTTCAAAAGTCAACCGCTTCGCTACGCTACACTCCAAAAGCTGTTTGTGTGTGCGTTACTACTTGAATGTATGGGTTTGATTTTGTCGCTCTAAATCGCACCGCACCGCTATCAATCACTGTATGTGTGTTTTTAGCCTAAATCAGGGCTTTAGAAAAAGTTTGTGTTAAGAATACTATAGCTTCCAAGTATACTATACTAATTTTGTGTGTCCGTATAGGTACTACTATTAATTATTAGGATATCAAAATGATTGTAAAATACACTTTACTAACACCAATTGGGCTTTAAAAGACTGAACATATTAGGTATTGTGTGTAAATAAAATATAAATGTAAAAATAAAATGTACTCTTTAATTAATTAAACCTTGATATTAGTTTCAGATCTAAAAAATCTTTACTTGTTTAGCCATTGATACAACTTGAGATTACATCCCCTATATTGAAATCAAGGCCACACTAAAAAAACAGGCCGTAATGCTCGTCAAGCATGACGTCACGATAGAAGACGGCAATGACGTAATTAAGGTTATATTTTTGTTTTCGATGAAAAGATTAAAACAAGCAGCTGATCACAAACGGCAAACATTACGTCATTGCCGTCTTCTATCGTGACGTCATGCTAGACGAGCATTACGGCCTGTTTTTTTTAGTGTGGCCTTGATTGAAATGGTCACCAGTTTTTAACACGTTTACTACCGCAATAGTACAAAATTTGTCTTTCATATAGACCAGTGACGCACATATGCGACGGCCAGTTTCTACCCATAGACTGCCGTCGCATAGACTGACGACGCATATTTGCGTCGGTGTTCCAATGTTATCAAAATGCTTATATCTTTGTATAACGGTCTATTTGAATGCACTGAATTCTCTGCAGTGGTCTACAGGGATGTCTGACGCACAACTGTGTCACTTGGTCTGTGGATGGATATGATGATTGGTGACGTCATATGATAGTTGGAAAAACTGGTCTTTACTTTTCTGCATCACTGTATGTATGTATGTATGCAGTACGTATGCTGCATTATCCTATGTTGCTTTTATATTTGTTCCGTTATAAACTGTTCTTGAATAATCAGTTTTTTTTTACTTACTTTCACCTCAAAACACTAACAAAAATGAACTGTCACATATATACAACATTTGAGCTATTTCAAGAAAAATATGATAATTTTCAATTTTCACTATTTGTCGCAAATATGTGACATTACAAGAGGTTATCAAAAATATAAAAAAAAAACAAGAATATATTATTTACAAATACGATTGCAGTGTATTATAAAGTAAATTATCACTGTTTAACAGGTTTTCGCCCGTGGTCTGCGTGTACTGTTAACCAAGTGACAGCCGGTCTATGTGTTACGATTAAATTGTATACCTCGGTCCAAGTGCAATGATCGCGGCGTCGCATCGAACAAGTTAAATCAAAATTGTTGCAGTTAATGTGAGCCACCGACAGATTGTTCTGATGTAAATTTTTTGTCAAATACATAAACTTTTTTTACAAGTCAAACTGATAGATCAGCTGGTCCATATAGATGGGATCTGGGATGTCTACTTCAGTACCGGTATACAATAGTTAATGGTATTGACTGATATCGGAGTGAAGCACTGCCTTACTCCTGGGTAAAATCATATCTTTGTTTTTTATTACAAACCATATTTTTTTAGTCTGTATTGTATTGTAGTATCTTCTTCTATATATTTATTCCGTAAGCGAATCGGTCCTCACCAAACATCTCGAGCTAGGAAAAAGGTAGCATGGCTGTTGAGGATTCATTTTAAAGCTTAAGGTCCAAGGACGGTGGGGAGAATATCAGAAGTGTCAAAAATTACCTCTGCTGTGCCCCACAGGCCAACAAAGATCCAGTTATTTTCTAATGGAAGTACTGATACAGTGGTATAATCTATATATTTAATACACAGTTGTAACACTGTTTTCTCAGTAATTACTGGACCGATCTACAAGATTTATGTCTCAAATTAAAGGGGATAGTGTTTAGATTTGCCGAACTTCCTTAGAATTTACGTTTTTTCTAAGGGCTACGACCTACAGCCCTTTAAAGGTCGAGTCAATACAATTCTTATTGAAGAATATAATAAACAGTTTCTAAATTATTCGTCAGCTGTTTAATGTTTGTCAGACATTGTTATTATTTTTATAACATCACTTTCAGTATGCAATTATTAAACTTGGAGTTTCTGTTTATAAACACATGATTTTGATCAAGGAAAGTGTATTTGTTAACTTATTTTTGAAATGTTTTAGTTTTCCTGCAAAGTGATCTGAAGGAAAGTGGTAATTGAGTTTAAGTTTGAGTATGGAATGTGAAATAATACCCATAGTAGGGAACGGAAACTTATTGTTTTGATCAATATAATTTATTCTCTACGGCCACCAGAATAATCATGGGAAAATCCGCTTGCAAGTTGTACATATAATTGCTAATGAGTGGGAAACATACAAACATTTTATAGTAGGTGATGAATCTTACTCAAGATCAGTGTTAAACGTTCAGTGGTACCAAACTTTACCTTCTCAAGATGGCGAGTACGCTGGGATACGTGGAACTACAATACATCAGCAATTTTTTTTTCAAATACACAGGGAAGTTGCTTGAGAAACTGTGACTTACCATTCGGTTCTGGCGAAGAAGTATGTGACTTGATGTTTAATGGCAATGTTGACTCGGGTCATTATAGCGTTATAAAACTTTATCGTTAACCCCAGGGTGTGAAAAGTACAAAAAGAAAAAGAAAAGGTAATCATTAACCGGGCGTAAAGAGACATACCGAACGAAAAAAAATGTAGAGAACCATCGAACTAAAAAGGTAAAGAGCGGTGTTGGTGTTAAATGTGCTCTGGAAGTCCCTACAAAAAATACCAGCTCTTTTGAATTGGGGTCCTTAGATTGGATTTGTCACTACTTCAAATCTATGAATTTCAAGTCAGAACAGACTAACTGGGACACAAAAATGTTTTAGTTTTCCTGCAAAGTGATCTGAAGGAAAGTGGTAATTGAGTTTAAGTTTGAGTATGGAATGTGAAATAATACCCATAGTAGGGGACGGAAACTTATTGTTTTAATCAATATCATTTATTCTCTATAGCCACCAGAACAATCATAGGGAAATCCGCTTGCAAGTTGTACAGATAATTAATTGCTAATGATTGGTAAACATACAAACATTTTATCGTAAGTGATTAATCTTACTCAAGATCAGTGTTCGACGTCCAAATTTTACCTTCTCGAGATGGCGAGTACGCTGGGATATTTGGAACTACAATTTATCAGTGAACTATACCCTAACTATATATTTCGAGCAGGCCTACACAGAAAAGTTGCTTGAGAAACTGTGACTTACGATATCGGTTCTGGCGAAGAAGTATCTGACTTGATGTTTAATGGCAATGTTGACTCGGGTCATTATAGCGTTTATCATTAACCCCAGGATGTGAAAAGTACAAAAAGAAAAAGAAAAGGTAATCATTAACCGGGCGTAAAGAGACATACAGAACGAAAAAAAAAAACATCTAGAGAACCATCAAACTAAAAAGGTAAAGAGCAGTGATGGTGCTAAATGTGCTCTGGAAGTCCCTTCTAAAAAATACCATTTTTTTTTTAATTGGGGTCGTTAGATTGGATTTGTCAGTACTGCAAATCTATGAATTTTGAGTCAGAACAGACTAACTGGGACACAAATATTTTTCCTTGTGTTGTCACAAGGGGAAGGTAAAATGAACTCCTTATCAACATTTTGAGTTTATGGAAAATCTTATCAACAGCGGCTATAAAAATAGTATTAAGGGTCAAAAGAGACAAAAAACTATTTGAGTAAAATATAATAGGTACAAATCTGCATTTGAAATGGCCAGTTCCAAGTCTCACTTGAATCAACATCTTTCTGGTAGTGGTAGTCTAGATAGTTTTAAAATCCACGACTCCTTTTCCATCAAATTGGACCGTTAATACCCTCTAACATTGAACATAGTATGCCCAACTTTATATATACGACGTAAACACAGCTTTTACTCACAGTATGGGTCAAAGATTCGTGAAATGCGACCAACTGCTGATGCGTGATTTACATGTAGGCTAAGTGACTATCTTTATTCCATACAACAAATGTAATGGAAAAAAAAACTACGAATATAGGAATATACTTGAGCAAATTATCTAAATAGCATAAATAGCTGCTTATTAGGTAAAACATTCATTTGGTTAAAATCATATATTGGTTTGATTAACATAAAATAGTTTATACAGGCAAACTATCAGTTCTATTTCATGTAAAAAATTAAACAACAACTAAATAAAATACAAAGATAAACAGTATTTGTTAATTATTATTTCTTTTATTGCTGACAATATTCCTGTGGCGGAGCACGGGCGGTTAACTAGTAGCAGTTAAATAAGCAGTTTTAAATATACCAGCTGATGGAAACATTGCGTATTGTTTGTTTGTTGATTTTAGTTTTCTGTTTTTAGGTTGGAATAGTAATGCAGTGTTGAAATGTATCGTGTTAGGGCAAAACCGTGACTACGAAGGAGAGTATTTAGGAATGGTGCACAGCATAGGGAATGGTTAAGGGTCCGCCGGACCCCGAGTCGGAAATCTCAGCACGATGTAGCTAACGGCTGCTTGGAGCGCTGCTCAACGGAGGGGAGCGGGAGAGGGGCCGAGTGAGTGGGAGAGGGGATGAGAAAGCGGCGCGGCGCCCAGCAGGAGAGGAACCGCTTACCCACGCGCACTGGCATACTCACTGTTTTATCATTGCCACTAGTGCAACTTCCACTCCACAAAACACCAAAACACCGCGAGCCAAGGCGCGGTCTAATGAGCGCCGGGAATGCTTCAAAACTCACCACTCGTGCTTATCCATATACTAAATAAATATTCAAAGTTGGCTACAGTACTGGGTTTTGTCAGTAAATGCATTTTGGCTGCAAACAGATTACTGTACCATAAGTAAACCCAGTTATGGTAGGTACAATATTTTGAAATATAAAAACAACAGTTGAAATAGAAAATTTTTATTTCAATTATTTATAATTTACCTTCATTTACCAATTATTAAATAATTACAATAATTTATCAGTTTTATTCGTCGACAAAACTTTTCAAAACCTATCCCTTATTGGGAGTCCCCGAGGGTGTCTTGGGTCGATGAGCTCTGGCAATACACATTTGAAATAAAAATTAGTCAGGGGTTTTTCCATTTTGTTTTCCCAAAACTGGTCGTCCCTCACGATTTTCTCTATGGACATGCCTTTGTTAGTCCACACCAAAAACCAACAATTTTTTTGTTGTGTTATGTGGAGCTGTCCCTGGATTTGGTA